AATAAGACTGGCAATAGTTTTATTTATATGAAGTAGTACTGAAAGCTTGAACATTTCTGCTTAGTTGTTGAAATTTTAAAATGGCTATTAACCATGTGGAAACTGCAACCAGAGAAAAAAAAATAATCATCTATTTATCCAATCAGAAGAAATCACTCAAAGATTTTAGTGAAATAGTGAACAGGAATCACAGTAAGAATTCTGATAAAAAAATTCAAATCGTCTGGAAGTGCAATAAATGCAATAAGAACAAGCCTCCCAAAAAAGCTGACTCGTACAAAAGAGAGAAAAGTTGTCAAAACTTTTAAAGTGAATCCAAAAGTTTCTTTAAATTATATTCAAGGAACAATTTTCAAGGAAGATTTTTAACAAAGTAATTCATACAAAAACTATCCACAGAATTCTTCATTGGACTGACAACAAATCTAGAGTAACCAAAAGGAAATCATACATCACCAAAAGTAATTGAAAGAGAGAATACTCCATTATGAAAGGGAGCATTCGAACACAGATTGTGCATATTGGCTAAATGTAATGTTTTCTGATGAAAGTAAATTCTTATTAATTCGTTGCAATGGAAAGAATTTAGTTTAGAGATAACCAAAAAACTGTGCTTTGAGAAAAGCATGTTCAAGGACAGGGGCAAAAGTGTGCTACATGTCAGGTGCATGTGTTGACAATTTTGAATTTACTGATGGCATAATGGACTGGCATGTCTATTTGTATATCCTTAAATGTAATCTTCAACAAAGTGCCCTTAAGCTTCCCTTATGTCACAACTTCTACTTTCAACAGAACAATGATCCGAAACTTGTGGCACATATGGTCCATCTGTGGTTGGATGACTGACAATGTGACTCTCCATCATCCAGCTCAATCCCCTGACTTCAATCCCATCGAACACTTATGGAAAGAACTTGATAACTGGGTAAAAAACATGATATACTGAATGTGGGCAATGTGGAAATATTTCTTCCAGAAGACTGGCACAAAATTTCTTCTGAAACAATGAAAACATTGGTGCATTCTGTGCCAAATAAGCACAAGGCTGTTAACAAAAATAGAGAGTTTGCCATAAAACCAATGACTACATTTCAGTCTCATATTTTCATCACTGTGCTTTCACTTTTGTCCTTCATTTTGTTGCGTTAAAATGTTCTACATATTTCTGTAAGTTCACTAATTTTAACATTTTGTAGCTAGCTATCCTTATAATATTCCAAAGATTATACAAATGATTTATATTTTGATAAAAGTGAAGAATTTTACTATTTTTTCCACATTTTTTGAGAAAATGTGAAATGTGCCTTCATTTTTGTCCATCGTTGTATATTACTGTATAGAAGGAACGAATACCCATTTTAAATTCCATGATGACACCGAAAAATATTGTGTGGCTAGATGCATTAAATCTGAGAAAGAGTTGTTGGACTTGGCAAAAATTAATACTCTGGAAAAGTTAATTATGTAGATAATAAGTCCCATACCTGAGGGGGCAAATTCGGTAGAGATTCGTATCTCACAAAATTTTGAAAAACAGAAATCTGCAAATACCACAGAATGGGATAAGGCAATGAGGGAAGAAACTGCTATAATAAAGAAAAAAAAAAAAAAAAGGTTGGGAATCAGTAGAGACATCAGGAAAAGGAAAATATATCAGGAAACAAATAGATCTATAGACTAGAAAGAAATGAAAGAATGAAGTGGTTAGATATGAAGCATGTCTTGTTGCGCAGGGATTTGGGCAAAACCGAGGGAAAATTTTTAATGATGTTATAAGTGCTTTAGTTAATTTTCAATCACAAGAATATTTTTCTTACTACTTGCAAGTTTATATAAATGAACAACTTGTTAATTAGATTTGAGAAATGTATATTAATATATATAAAGACAAATGCGAGACTATACATGACCCAGGAAGACGGCTTTACTGAAGAGAAAAGTTAAGTGTGTTTATTACACAAGGCCATTTACAGTCTGTATCAAAGCAGCCGTGAGTTTGAAATATTTGAATTTGAAAATACTTTAGAAAATATAAACTTTAAGAAAATACTATGATTTTCTTTACAAGAGACTTAGCTTAAATCTTTTACTATATGAAGATGATATTGCAATTTTTAGTAATGATCAACATGTGTAGATAAAGTAATCTCACTGCTAAGTAAATTTTTTTTATCTTAAGATATTAGAGAGAACTATAAATTTACTTTGAATAGAATTTTTAGAAAATGACAGTGGGATTTTCATACAACAAGAAAGGAATTTTTGAAAATTTTAAATACTTTTACATACCAGAAACTTCATTTCCCATAGTCCCATTCTTACAAAATTAGATTGCCTGTCTGCTAGTCCAGAAACTGATGAAATAACTAAATTAACTTTTAGAAATCTATTGGGGTTTTTACTTTTTGTAGGTAATTGGACTAAGCTTAATACTGTGTACTTAATAAATATCACAATTTCAAGAGAATTCTGGATTACATATTGTGAAGCATTGTTAAAATTGCTCAGTTACCTCAAAAATACTAAGACATACAAGTTAAACTTATCGATAATTAAACATTTAAGTGTACGTTATTATTCAGAGGCTGATTATGCAATATGGATGATCATGTATTCATGGGTGGATTTATATTATACAAGATGTCCATAAACGTTTATCCTGATTGCAAAACATGATAACTTATGAATACACACAGATAATGAAACATGCATTGGGCCTCAAATGCATAAATTCTAGAAGTTCATAATCATATTGGAAACATTTAAAAAACTTCTACATGTGCCTCTCTGGTAGCCCGCAAAACACCCAAGACATATTCGGTTTCACACAAATTTCTCCTGACATAACCCCCTTCCAGATTTCTTTCTTTGAAGGTATGTTACAGACACTATGTAACATTTCCTGATGTAGTGGCAGTGCATCATAGATGCCATTCACACAGTGACACCAGATATGTTGAATTCAGTGCTCATAGGGTAACTTGTGTGCTACCAGGTGTGCACTTATGAAAGTTTATTAGATGTTTTTGATATTCTTATGAATTCTGAGATGTTACGCATTTGAAATTCAATGCAAGATTTATTCCCTGTGCACAATCATGAGTTATCATGCTTTGCAATCAGGGCAAGCATTTATGGACACCCTCTATTTAGATAAAGTAGTACTATTTGGAAAACTTATAAACAAAAAAAATGTAGGTTTATCAACCATTGAGGCAGATTATATCACTTTACCCGAAACAGCAAAGGAGTTGCTGTGGATGTTAAATGATTGAATGAATGTCAAATGAAGCCTTAGTTCGATTTAAATGAGTGTAAACGATATTGTGATAACAAATCTGATATTGATTTTTCTAGATCACTGATAATAAAGCAATTGGACTAAGTACATTGATGTATGATATCACTTTATCAGAACACTGGTGAATGACTTCCTCTCTAGCAAATTAAATAATGCAGACTTATTTACAAAAGCAGTAAACTGCCCTGAATTCAATGACCTTGTGTACAAGTGTTTACAATATTCAAGAAGGATAAGTACTGCAAGCATAATATAGAAATGAAATGCGTAATTTTGTATTAGTTCCTACCCTGCAAGAGAAAAAAAGGTGGCCACTGCTAGATCCATCGTTTTTCTTCATGTAAATGTTTCAAAAGCGAATCAGCAGAAAATTGCTGATTGGCCAATGATGTGTTGTTAAGAATGTTATGGAGTAGGCTAGCTCTGGAAACTATGAGTTAGTTAACTCTACACATGCTTTTGTTTTAATGTAACAGCCTGCAGCTGCAGCCTAGTTAGCTTTAGAAGAATGAAATAGAAGTTAGTTGTTATTTTTAGTCATGATCCTGCATTCGTATTTCTCCTAACAACAAAGTATGCTTATATTTCTATGCTCTCCCACTGCCAATACTCATTTTGAAAATATTCAATTAAGAGTATTCATAACTTTTTCAGTGAAAATATAATTACTTTGGACTTCCTATATATTGAATTAGTTTATAAGTTGCTATGCATAAAGCAGTAATAAAATGTCTAAGCAAATGACAGATGTGATATGATTTCTTGATAATAACAACTTCAATCAACTGAGCATTTTCCGTCTAATTATGGCTTCCCATGCATGTGTGCCATAAATTAAAAAAAAAAAAAGGTTCATGCCCCACATTAAAAATGCCCATTTGAAACTGTTCCAGTATTAATGATTAGTAGACTTACTGTTTAAATTTCTCCTATATATTAAAAATTATTGAGTAATTTTAACATTGTACGATTGTTAAAATAATGGTTAAAGTAATTTAAATTTCTGCAAAATGCCAGGATTAAATTTTCAGTTTCACACAGTTTTTTTCTTTTTTTAACTGGTGAGGACAGGGAGAAATACTTTTAAAATGCAAATTATTTTTAAACATAAGAACAATTACTGTATGATATTAAAATTCAATTAAAAATATTTTGTTCACATAGTCTTTTCTTTTTCATGTTTAGTGAGAAAAGGGAAAGAAATATAAAATGCTAGAAAAATCATTAGATATTCTGCATTCACAGTTTTTTTTTTTTAATTTGTATAATATTCATATAAGTAATGAATGAAAAACTCCATGAAGTCAGTAGTTTCTTAAGTACATTTAGATTTGCATAATTTTCATAAAAGTAAGGTGCAAAATATGATGGACCATTGACAATATGTTTGACTTTCCTCATTCCTATAATTTTCATAAAATATATATCATACCATCACTTCCCTGAATTCATATATGTATTTTTGGAAGCATGCTGACCTGCAAGTTACATCTATGTATGATACAAAATAAATGCCAATGCTTTTTATGCAAGTACCTCTTCCTTAATTACATATATATTAGTTATGAATAACTCTTATCATCATTATAATGAAACTATACAAACACAGCAACACACAGATGAAACATAATTTAGAGATTCAAACATTTTCTACTAAAAAACTGGTAAATTACTTTGAAATAGAACAGTTACTTACAGTTCCATTTCGGGTTGCACAATGGCCCCACATTTTAAAATTACAATCAAATCCAAGCCTGTGGAGAAAAAGAGCAGTATTGTTTGCAGGCAAATACTGAGTACCAGATGGAGAATGCAAAGTTCTAAGGTTTAACAAATGCACATCACATGGCAGCTCAGATCCCACAGGTGAGTATGTTGCCCTTAGAGGTGCATCTATATTATGTAAAATAATATTTGGATCTGCATCTTTATCCATTTTAATTAAAACAAAAATTGGATGCAGCAGTGAAAGTGATGCATGGTGTGCTAATAAGGATGGATAACTTGAAGAGCCCTATACAAAAGAAATAAAAATATGTGTTACATATTCAACTATACATTAAATAAATTATTTCCATACCTATGAACCACATTTTACATAAAATTCCTTTTGCTACATTTAAATACATGTTCTATGCACTAGCACAAGACAAAAAGAACACATTTTCTTGCTAGACTACATTTTGTTACAGTACAATAGATTTACAAAAAGCTATACACTAACCTATTACATGTATTAAAAGTTAAAATGTTTTAGAAAATGTTAAAAAAGGTTTCAGTTGATTTGGAAAGAATGAAATTACCAATACAAGCAAGTAATCACAACATTGAAAATACATAACAAAAATTGAGTGAATAGCATTGCATAGCATTTTCCACTGAATCTCACTTTTGCCCACAACATAACAGATGAATTCATATCTGATAATTAGATTCAGTATGATACTGCATATTTTCATGCTATGCAAGTGCTGCACTACCTTTCACACACTTTTTTACTGAAAATTGTTAAGACAGTAAAGAATATATGCATACTACAGGGTACATTTTTTCAGAATCTATGCATATTGTAGCATACCTTTTTTATCTAGAAACTTCAATCAAAATTATACCAGCCACTGATAGTGGTTTGTTGTCAAATTTTTTTCCACTGATTTTGAAGGAGCTGGGTTGCACAGGTTCCTCATATATAAACACATGTGTTTATATATGAGGTATAAGTATCAGTAACCTCAGCCCAGATGACTATGACGCAATTCTAGCCTTTACTTTGCTGAGGTTTTTCAAATTGAATTTTTCCTCCTGAATTGCATAATTTTACTTACAAGTAAATTAGAAAACACTACAAATTAAAAAAAAAAAAAAAAAAAAAGATAAATCATGCAAGTTAATGCACCTTTCTTCTAAAATGTCACTTCCATTTATATTTGCACTTAGCTCTCCTACTAAGAACTGGCTGTAGAATAACTCTCTTATAGAATCAACCAAGTTTTAGTACAAAAGTTTAAAGTTTATTTTTAGCTTCCAGTATTCTAAAAATCAAACTGATATTAGCCAATACATTACAGTTGGTGTTTCAAAAGCTAACATGAGATTTGTTTCAGTTTCTTAATATTTATTAATGCTTCACTATCATTATTATTTTTAACTAGCCAGAAAATATGTTAAAGTGCCATTTTGCTATTTATAAATATATAACAAGTTGACAACAATATCAGAGTTCTAACTGAAGATAATATTCTTCTATGGCAAAACAAACAGAACACTGAATTTTAGACACAAAGTTAATGCTATAGCAAACAGCTGAATACTAATATTATGCATTCCAGATGTATGCAAACTTATAACTGCATTTCATTTGCACATTCATCAGCATGATATGTAAATCTTGAATTTTTATATTTGTAAACAGTATGTACCAAACACCTTGATATTGGACATAGGAGAGGCACCATATTATCTTTTCAGATGAATCTTGGTTCTGTGTACTGCATCATGGATGTATTTGCATGAGAAGGCACTGAGGAGAAAAAATATCACCAGCTTGCATTTGTCATTGTCATACAGGCCGACCACCTGGTGCGCTGGCATGGAGTATAACTAAGTACACATCCTGGTTACCTCTTCTTCGCACAGCTGGTATTTAGGATAGCCTGTTACATTTCTACCATGTTAAAGACCATGGCTATGCTCTATATTCGAGGCCTGCATGATGCAATCTTTCAGCAAGATAATGCATGATCCTATGTTGCTTGTGCTGTCCTGGATTTCCTTGACACATGAAAAGATACTGTCGACCTGGTCAGCATGTTTTCCAGATCTCTGACTGAGAACATCTGGTGATGGGTTGCTGAAAGATTGGTACACTGAACTCACTAGCCACTACAATTGATGAACTCTCGCATAAAGATAAAACCAAATGGAATGAAGCCCTTGTATCAGTCATCCCAGCTCAGTTAAATTCAATGTCCAGCTAGATCACAACCACTGTTGCTGCTAGAGGAGGTCGTAACTCTGTGTACTGAAATCTGCATGCTCTACACTCCAAAACACCTACAAATTTAATGATGTTCTTCCCATTATGCTATTATACATACAATAAATCAAGATTTTACTATTTAATGGCCAGCAGTATAGAACACTACTAGTAAAAAATCGAGCATAAAAAAGTAACAATAAATTCTCTGTCAACCAGTTCATGAATAAAATTAACACATCTTTTGTTATATACTTCTCAGAGCTTCCATACTCAATGACTGAACAGAAATCATCGTTAAGCTATGGCATAAAAGCAGGCTCAAAATTAGAAAAACACTTGAAATTGCCACTAAACCATGTTGCAGAGATTTTTCCATCTACCTTCCATATATACGAATGCTGGTTCAGAGCACTTCAACCCTACAGAAAGCAATAAAAAAAAGACAAACTCGAACTTACGTTTCAGTGCAGTTTCAGCATGTCATTATAGAAATTTTATCTTGTTTTCAACTTCATTTTAACTGCACATCATGATAGTTAATGCTTCAACTTGATTTATATATCATTATATCAAAACATTGCATTTATAATACACAAAAACAATAGAAGTACATAATACCAAGTACAGCTAATGAAAAGAAAAGCAGCTACAATTTCTAGCAGTAATTGCATTTCATACTGCAGTCTGATTCTGTATACTGTAAAACATGGTTGAGATATAGTTTTTTTTATAAAAAATAACAAATATTTAGGACTAAATATACTGTAATAAAAAAAAAAATTACCGAAGACTGTTTCGAGCGCTGCTCTAGAAGTATTCTAAAGAAAGTAGGGGTATCTCTGTTGTCAGTAATACCTTGCTGAAGGCCTCTGTTATCATCTTGATTAAGCCTCCTATCAAGGAATACTTCAAGCCAGCCTACAAAAATATGTAATGAATTATAATTAAATATTAAACAAATGCTAAGGTATATTCAGTAAAATAACACATTTATAATACAAAAGTTTTATACAGAGAAAGAGTTATAAATTAATTACAGATTATTTCTACATAGAACAATATACAGATACTGATGCAGAAGAAATATAAACATTGAAATGAATACAGCTTTCACATCACATTCTTTAAAGTTCATGATAATTTAGCTTAGTTGATAAGGATTTAGCAGTAACAAACTTTTGGTGGTATTAAGAAAAACAGACTTGAATTATTATTCGCTTAAAAAAAAAAATGGCACTAGCCAGTAAAATGTACTTTAATTATGCAGCAATTTGTTCAATGTAATGCTCAAATTCTCGTAATACATATTTGTTATATATTCACTTAGCACTCTTTTTACACTATAATGAACCAGAGAATACCAAAAATCTCCTGTTTTCTAATCAGGTATTAAAGTGAGAACAATGCAAAGCTGCACAGTATTAATCAAAGGTATTTTACGTTTTTTTTTTTCTGAAATAATATAAAAAATACAAGCCACCTAGAAAACTAGAAAAATCTCATATTCACATACAAATAAGGTAGATGAAAACCTGAAGAATACACATATGGCTGAAAATTTCCATAAATATTCAAATTATTTTGACTGCATTTTTATGTATTATTCTGATATTGTTTTATTTACTTACTTGTTTAAGTTTTCAGATTTAAGATAATGGTATTAGGGTTCAATTTGCATATAACTGAATATATGACTATACCTTTCAATTCTAAATCGAGACTTTTAACCCATTTAAATAGCCCCACTACAATGTGAGATAAGGGCAAAAATTTTCCTGGTGGGCCTTTGTGACAATTTTTGCCATCAGGTTAGCAACACCTAGCAATTTTTTGTCAACCTGATGACTTTCTGGAAGTTTTGTGTAATGCATTTTTGAAACCTAAAGACTGATTTTTCCAGAAGTTTTCATATTCCTATGCAATACCATATAAATATATATGGCTGTGGGAGTCAGAAGGAGTCAGTTGTTACCCAGATTTGAAATACTACAGTGCAGTGACAGCTGAATTATGCTTTACAGTTTATTCTGTGTAGCTATTAGGAATTTAGGATATTTCTCATGCAAAGGAGGATTTACCTACTATCTGCATTTCCATTAAGCTATTGATGGCTATTGATTTTTGCTGTACACTGTACTTTTTTCTAAATAAATTACCAATTTCTTCCAGCTCATCTGATGTAATTATTTAAAATGACACCTCAAAACCCATAGCTCACAACAATATATACTAAAGCTCAAAAACATATTGAATGAAAAATTAAATTTCAGAATGATATAAAGCATGAAAATTTTCCAAACAGAAATCTTATGTCTTTTTTTTTTTTTTTTTTTTTAGTATTTTTGTATTTATTAATACTACTGCTGAAGTGCCACTAATTGTTAACTATTTTACCTACAAACATATATACGATATTATCATTAAACTTCCATGCAGGTTTCTGAAATATATATATATATATTTTTGCTTATTTATAAATTCAGATTTATAAATGAGTATTGATTTATGAGAGAAAAATAATATTTGACAGAAAGTAAACTACTCGTTTCATATTCACTACTTGACATGCTACTCTGTTTTTCTCTAATACCTGAGCTTCTGAGCTTTACTTCCTAAGAAAATTTACATCATGCATGCCTTCTTATTATAGTTATAAATGCTATTTCACAAATGTTAATCGATAATAAACTCATATTATTAGAAAATGTTAATATTGCATAATCAAATAATAATAATGACAAATGGCAAATAATCCTTAATAATTCAAAATTAAATATCTGAGCTATAACATTAGTCACATGCAAAAATGAAATGCATGGTCCCCTCATTTACAAAAAAAGAGTCAGATTTTGCCAACATAGGAAACAACACTCAGGAGTTCATAGGTTTTGCAAAGAGGACTGTAGCTATCAAATGCTTGCTCATGTCGCCATCTATTAGGAACAATGAGAAGTGCAGCAACGCATGAGTTTTGCTTGCTCTTGAAGATGATATTGACCTTGGGATTTGATCCAGGATCAGTTTCACGGGAGTTGAATTCTCTACCACTAGCACAAAAGAGCTCCCATGTGCTAGGTTCAAAAATTTCAACTCTTTCAAATTTGCTAGTTGGGTTGTTGAATTTGAGTTGTTGGTGTTGAGTGGCTCTCAAGATCTCTACACACTCCCCTCCTAAGCATTCCTGGTGCAATGCGAGGAGAAGCCCATTTCGCGGGCATGGTTGTGAGCCCAATGCATTGATGAAGTTGATTATTGTGTTGATGGGCTGTGTTGCAGCTACATTGTGGGACCTGCTCAGGTGGATCTGTTGATCTATGGTGGAGCATGGTTGAGAGGCCCCAGTCTGTTGGCATTTGTGTCTGAGCTGGAGTGTGTATGACATAGTTTGCCATTTGTCCTCAGTGTGTGCGTGGGGAATGTGTGTCCTCGTCACCACTGTAACAATCATGTGGTGGTATGCTTGCTCGTGTCGCCATCTATTAGTGCTGATGAAAAGCCTAGAAGTGCATGAGTTTCACTTGCCCTTGAAGACTGACCTTGGGATTCGAACCTGGGTCTTTTTTATGTGAAGAGCTCTGATGCACTAGATTCAAGAATTTCGACTTTCAAATTTGCAAGTGTTGAGTGGCTCTCAAAGATGGCTATAATTGCCAATATAAGAAACAATGCTCAGAGTTCATAGGTTTTGCAGTGATGACAAATAATCATTAGCATTGCATACACATTAGCATAAATCAAAGTAATATAACTCACATTCAAGATAACTGCGTTACAATACACTAGCATGCAACACTTAGCAACTTTTTTATTTTGGTTATGATTCCACAAAAAGTCAACTGGGAGACACGAAATTCACAGAGACACAATGTAGTAATAAAAAGATGAGGATAGTATAATAAAAAAATGAATATTTCCTTAAGTACCCCACACATGTTCAATGGGATTTAAATCAGAGGAGCATGCAGGCCAATATATTTTGTGGGTATCATCACCTTCCAGGAGCTCCTCAACAGCATGAGTCCTGTGTGGCCATGCACTTTCATTCATAAAAACAATATCAGGACCAATAGCACCCTCAAAAAGATGCATGTGCAGGAGGATATATTCATCACTCAACATGCAAGCACACCAAAACAATCCCAACAGTCTCTTTACCTGATGTCAGTGGGATGAAAGCATATCCCTACCTCTCTCCATATCAACTGGTTCCGAGAACCATTAGTCAAAGTGAACTCATTAGTAAAGAGGATGTGACTCCATTGATTGAGGTGTCCAATATTTGTGTTCTCTACACAGTGCCACTGATAGGCATCCATAAATGGTATGCAGCATTCAGAATGGTGGGTGAATAGGTTACCTGTATGAAGCCATCTGACCAGAGTAAACAAGGACATCTGTTATCCAGCTGCCACATGCAACTGCTGAGTAATGTTGCCTGCTGTTTGGTTTTGATCTAGTTTCACCTGCAAGGTGATATATCAGTCGTCAATCACTGTTGTTTTTCATTACTGATCACCAATAACCTTTCTTACAGAAGCACCTGCAGTTAGGAAGTCTTTTCAAGCTTGTGAAACATCATGTTTTTTAATCTGCATACTCTTAGGTGACAGACATCAAACTACAGCCATCCTCAAGCTTCCCAATCACTCGACCACGTATATAGGAGTTCTGATGTTTTTTTGTAGCAATAGTGCTTGTATAATCTCACTTTCACTTGCAGAAGAATGCTTGGAAATGTGTATTCCTTTCTTCTTTTTAAGCTGCCTTGTTGTGTTTTGCATGCCAAGGTACTCTTCCCCCTGATGTCATGGTATTCATATTAAACTCTCTATTAAACACAAAAAGCTTTTTTCAATAATTTCATTGCAGTATGCTGAAAAATGAATTTGTTGCTAAGTTTTGCACACTAATATCTATACAGTTATTACATTTGTATCTAATTATCCTTCATTTAAAATTACTTATAACTATTAAAAATACCATATTTGCTCATTGCAATTCATACATAGACTGAAAAAATAATACAAAATTTAAGCAAAAAAAGGATTATGATAACAAATTAAAATCATAAACTGGTACTTATTTAACTGCGGATATTACCTGTCATGAAACCATATAAAATGCAAAATATTTTGACACTGTGACTTTGAATAAATAATATTGTCAAATATTACACTATTTTCATTTCAAATTCTTTTGTTTAAAATTTTAAGAGATTTTCTCCTCGAACTTTTATGAGACTCATAACATTCTACACGTATTTCTTTCACTTCGAATCATGATTTAAGGCTTGTATTTCTTAATATTTGCTCAAAAAAGAGAAGTATTTAATTGTTGATGCATAATAAATATATTATTGAAAATAAAATCCCCTTAAGTTTGTATAACCGGCTAACATTTTCACTATTTTTAGGATCACTCGAACAGTAGACTTTACAAAAATGTAAGTTTTAATTTGAACTACATTCTGAACTACATTTAATGTTAAATTAATTTCTGATTTGAACTGTGCAAGGAGATTATGAGACAGTAAGTATTATGACCGATTTTTACCCAAGAAATATAATATACTTAGTTATCTGCTGAGCTGTGAAATTAAAGATAAAAGAGAAATTTTGGCACATTTTGAATCTTTTACTGTAAAACTTGAAAATCTCAAATCCATAGATGGAAAGATATGCTTGTCAAAGAAAATGTAATAGAAGCCGAAATTGAAGAGGGAACTGATTTAAGACAGATGAGTATGCTCTTAAATTTTATAAAATCAGAGAACAAGTTCAGTCTTTAACTCTTTTTAGATAAATGTGAAAATGTTGAAGTTTCCCATTTAATGGTTCTAAAAAGCTTAAAGTTCGATTACCTAAAATTGAATTAAAGAACTATGATGGAGATCCTAAAGGTTGAATCGATTTTTGGGC